TGGCCACTCCACAGCCTTGCACCTGGAAGTAGAGCTGCCCAACTGAGGCGGGCCTGGAACAGGCACTCCTGGCTGACTCAGACACATGAAAAACAAACGTGTATTGCTGCATGCCATTGAGACATGGGGATGCTTGTTATGCAGCAGCAGCTGACTACCACACTGACATATTCACTTTCCCTGCTCCCCTGGCATTGGCATAGGATATGGGCTGGGCCAACAGGATGTTACTACTCAGGCACAAGTGGTACAAAGAAACAGCATCAGGGCAGGGCCATTTGGTTTCCAGGGTCAGCTATGGCTGAGTGTCAACAGCAGATGGTGGTGCCAACAGAGGCATCTGGATCTGCAGTGGTGGCAGAAGCATCCTCACCAACCAATCCCTTGGCATGATTTCAGCTGAGGCCCTGACTGCCTCACCCTTTTCATTCCTACTGGTTTTTGAGCCTGGTTGTCCAGTCTTCTTTCTTGCTGTTCTGTGAGCTACCAGTTTTCCAATATGCATGTCAGCTATTTAAATTGGCCACAACTGGCTGGATAGCTCAGTTGGTTACAATGCAACCTTATAACACCAAGGTCACAGGTTCAGATCCCCGTATGGGCCAGATGCCAAGAAAATAAATCGGCCAGAATCAGTTTCTGTTGGTTTCAAATAAAAACCACGACTTACATAAGAGGAGAAACTCCAGCATCTGTCACACTTCTATTGTAATTCTGGAACTGTTTAGTTACAAGTATCAGAATATCTGACCACTCGTCTCATAGGCAGCGCAGTCATTTCTCATAATAAGGAGTCTGGAGGTCAGAGGTGCCAGGATGCCACTGGTGGCCCCATGATTTCAGGGTTCTAGGAGGGGGCATGCCTGTGCCTCTCTTCACTTGCTCCTCATGGCCACAAGATGGCTGCAGGAGTTCCTGCCATCATGTCCTCATAGGAAACAGTAAGGGAGGGAAGGGGGCAACAGGCCTCTCCCTTGTCCAGAAACACCCAACCCCTTAGAGCTTGCTGGCCAGAGCTGGGAAATGTGCCCAGATCGAAAACAACCCTGGCAAAAACAACCCCTTAGAGCTTGCTGGCCAGAGCTGGGAAATGTGCCCAGATCGAAAACAACCCTGGCAAAAAGGCATTGCCAAGAATGGCTCAGCTGACTCTTGAATCAACCCCCAAGGCTGGGCACATCTCTGCTGGCACCAAGTCAGGGTTCTGTTGGTGTGGAGAGAGGAATGGCTGTGGCTGGCCACCTGCAGGGTCCATCATGAGGATGACAGGAAGACACGAATCATGCAGGGACCTGGCAGTGGGTGAGAGCACAGCTTGGCGGCCTCCTGCCCTGGAGCCCACACATACAGTTCCCATGGACACTGGAGGGAAGGAGGCTTTGCTCTCACCTCCTACCCCAGAGCCTCTCATTCGTATGACAAGCATTCAGGCTGGGCCCCTGTACTATGCACCCACCATGCTGGGCACGAAGCGTTGGGATGCATGGCCAGGTGCCCCTAGTAAAACCCGGGTGCTATGGCTCCATCACGCAGAGCAACTCTCCAGGGCCATGGGAACAGAGCTGGAGCTGCTTTCTTAGAGACAGAGCCAGGTCTGGGGCAGATTCCCACCTCACATGGCTCCCCAGAGGCCCCCTTGGCCCTCACTTGTTTCGAGGCCCCAGAAATCACACGTGGCCTCCCTCTCACGGGCCTGCATCCGATCGTCTTGTCCCGAGAGACAGCGTTTTCCCACAGCCCGAGCCCAGGTGCGGAGGGAGGTTCCTGCGGACCATGTCCAGACCTCATCAAGGGAGCAAGCTCTGGAAGCAGGATGGCTTCCCCAGGCCAGGGAGTGGTGGGCTCCAGAGCCCTCAGGGCGCTGGACTTGGGGTGGGGAGGGGCCAGGCTGGCCTAGGGGCATGTGCAGGCGTGGGCGTGTGCATGCGTGGGAGCTTGCGTCTGGCCATTTGCAAGCATGTAAGCACGCTAGTGTACAAGCCGGGTGATGCGTGGGCACACGAGAGCACGCATGTGCGGGCATGCACAAGCGTGTCACAGCACGCGTGTGCAGGTGTGTGCGTGCACGAGCGTGTTCTGCCTTTCTCCGAAGGACACAAATGTTCACAAAGTGAAGATTCAAGCCAGTTTCTGCTAAATTAAAAACAGCTTTTTCGTGTTTAAAGTTTACAATACAAAAAATAATTTTCCTTTCTTCCGGGGGGTGGGGTGGGGGTGGGAGTGGGTGGGAGGGAGGAGCAGGGGCCCCCGAGAACATTCCATGAACCGGCCCAGACGGTTATGCACAATCTATCTGGTTAGATACAGCAGCGCCCTCCGCCCAGGGCCCAACTGCTGCCAGCTCACTGGGGACAAGATGTTCTGAGGTGTGAGCTGATCTAGGGGACTTGCAGCTGGCAAAGGTTTCTCACTGCCCCCCTTGAAGAGGCCATGCCTCCAGCAGGAAAGGGTTCTCTTTGGGGGAGCTCAGATTGGGGCTGGGGGCTGGGAAGTTCTGATAAGTCCCCGAGGAGGATCGCTGCTTTTGTTTCGGTGCTCCTGGCAGCATGGGCTCCTTTCAGGTTCCCAACCAGGTTGCTATTTTAGCACTGCCCCCACCCCCATCCTCACGTAGGCCCCCATGGCTACCACACAGGAGCACCAGGACTGCAGTTGAGGTGACTTATGCAGATCTGCGTTTGGAGGATGAACCCAGAAACCTCCCCTCTTGGAAGGCCGTCTGTGAACATCAGGCATCCTCTGCCAGCGTGCAAACAGTAAGTGGCCTGCTCCATGCGGCCTGGCATGCAGCAAGGCCATCCCCAAAAGCAGGGGGCTGGGGGCTCTTTGTGGAGCTCTTGGGCCAACATGGAAGAGTGATGACATTATGCTTCCTTTAGGACGTGCCCTGCATCTCCCCCATCACCGTCTCTGGGGAGAGGGGCTCCTAGTCACCCGATCTGCACTTGGGCCCTGGGACTGAGCAGATGGAGACAGAATCTGCCAGGGCTGGGAGCCGCCTGTTGGCAGGGGCCGAGCGACATGGAGAGAATCTCGCCCCCACAGGCTGTCCCAGCCTGTGCCCAGGTTTGCCCTCCGTCTTCCAGGTGCTGGGGTGGAAGTCCTGGCCACATTTCTCACTGCCCCTGTCCCTGAGCCAAAACCCGGCCCCCCTTCCAGCTCCTCGGCAATGCTGGAAAAGGCCGAGGCGGGTGAGAGGAGCCCCCAAACACACAGAAGACACATGAGGAATCTGTGACCAATCAGGCCTCAGCCGCACAATCTCGGCACGGCGCCCGCTCCATCTTCTCACCATAACATTTTTATTAAATAAAGGGAAATATTAGGAGACGACGTCTGCGAAGGCATGAGGTTAATTCTCTACATGGTGAGTGGGTCACAGAGACACGGCATCAATCGTCCGTTAGCAGCAAGAGAGACACTTTAAGTTGCCCCAAGAGTACAAATCCCGTTAAGAAGACAGAACTGCTGGCGTCATTGAAAAAAAAAAAAAAAAAAAGGAAAACAAAAGGAGGTTTAGCGGTTAAAGCAACAAAAAGATTGTGGCAGGAGACCCTACAAAGCTCTTGAAGGGGAAGGCCTCACCACTTGCTTGACTTCCCAAGCAGGGTGGGCTTGGGGTCCCATGATGACCTAAAAGAGGGCTGGGCTAGGGTCACTTGGAGGGGTGGGAAGGAGGAAAGGAAATAAAAATCACCCAACAGACCTGCGGCATACAGACGCACTGTGAGATCTAAGCCAGCGGCCCCGTTCCAATGGCCCTGCCACCAGGGGCAAACAGGACAGGGGCGTCTCAGCCCTCACTCCTCGTTAGGGCCCACGTGACACCCAGTGCCAAACTGAAGACCCAACGCCCATAAGAACTGTCTCTGGGAGCTGGTTGTTTTATTTTCCTCCTGAAAGCAGACAAGTGAGTGTCCTTATGGTGCTGGGGTTGAGGACAGGAACAGAGCCACAGCTAGAGCCTCCCCCAGCAGCCAGGTGGAGGGGCAGGTGTAGGGGGCACTCATGGAGGGGGCAGACATGCCCTCGTCATCCGTCAGAACTGAGCTGGGGACCTTTAAGATGCCTCTCACTGGGGGCCGGCCCGTGGCTCACTCGGAAGAGTGCGGTGCTGATAACACCAAGGCCGCGGGTTCGGATCCCATATAGGGATGGCCGGTTCGCTCACTGGTTGAGCCTGGTGCTGACAACACCAAGTCAAGGGTTAAGATCCCCTTACCGGTCATCTTTTAAAAAAAAAAAAAAAAAAAATGCCCCTCACGGCTCCAGGGGGTCTGTTTGCCTTGGGGGTTTTGGGGGATTTTATTTTAAAAACACACAGGCAAGGGCCAGCCCGGTGGCGCACTGGAGAGTGCACCACTTGGGAGTGCGGCAGCGCTCCCGCCGAGGGTTCGGATCCCATGTGGAGACCGGTTCCCACTCACTGGCTGAGCGCGGTGCAGGCGCGACACCGAGGGTTGCGATCCCGTTACTGGTCAGTAAAAAAGACAAAAAAAGGAAAAAAAATACACAGGCAAGAGACATGGGAGGCGAGTTGCATACCATGGACTATGGGTCCGACATTAATAAGCTCACATCTTTTTTTTTTTTTTTTCCTTTTTTGTCTCTTTTTTCATGACCGGCTACGGGATCGCAACCCTCGGTGTTGCTCCCGCACCTCGCTCAGCCAGTGAGTGGCCGGTCTGTATGTGGGATCCGAACCCTCGGTGGGAGCGCCGCCGCGCTTCCCAAGCGGCGCACTGCAGCAGTGCGCCACCGGGCCGGCCCAATAAGCTCACATCTTGGTGTCTGAAACCACTGGGCTGGGAGGTTGGCAGGGGGGTGACAGTAAGGCAAAGCCATACAATGGCCACCAGAAGGGACACCCCAATTCCCACCCACCAGCTGGGACTTGCAGGGCAGGCAAGGAAGCTGCTTTGGGCATGAGTTTGCTGCTGTGACACATTGGCCTCTTGGCGGGCAGGCACCCTCGGTGGGACTCAGAGCCAGGGTTTGCCTCAGGAAGAAAGGAGAGAGAAAGGGACCGGGGGGGCATCCTCCACCATGATGTCCAGCGTCTGTACGCTGTCCACCAGCTCCGATGACTGCATGAGCGGGAAGCGGATGTGGCAGAGCACGTGGCTGGCACGGGGCCGCCGCGCCGGGTCATGCTGCAGCCAGCGGACTGCGGCACGGAACAGGTCGATCTCGGTGCAGCTCTGCAGCCGGTTGCTCTGCAGGAAGAAGACGAGACGCTCCAGTGGCAGGCGCAGAAAGTCCTCCTCCTGGGCGATCTGCAGGAAGTGCCGGAAGGTGAAGGCATCCACAGACTCCCGGAGTGAGGCCAGGCTGAAGGTCGTGGCCATCTGGCCAATGTTGAGGCAGGTCTCCACACTCATGGCCGCCTTGAGGAACTCCTCGCACAGCTCCACCACAGGCAGCATCTGAAGGAACACAGCTGCACCCAGCACGTCCTGCACACAGTCAAGGTCCAGGGTCACCTCAGCGCTGTAAGCGAAGTCAATGATGTGCCGCAGGCCACGGGCCGACACTCCCTTCAGTTCAATGACGTCCTGGTTCGCCTCCCTCATGCCGCCCGTGAACATGGCCCTGGAAGTCAGAAACACAGTGTAGGCTCGGGGAGGCTAAGGGTGTCGTGGCCGGCCAGGAATGGCCTGGCCTCAGGAATGGTGGCCCCAAGACACAGAATGAAGGGCACAGTCAGCAAGAGGAAAGCAGAATGGATGCTCATTAAAAACATGCAAAAAAGCAGGGCCGGCCCGTGGCTCATTCAGGAGAGTGCGGTGCTGATAACACCAAGGCCACAGGTTCGGATCCTATATAGGTATGGTCGGTTCGCTCCCTGGGTGAGCGTGGTACTGACAACAACAAGCCAAGGGTTACGATCCCTTTACCAGTCATTCTTTTTTGTCTTTTTCCGTGTCCGGCAATGGATCGCAACCCTCAGTGTCGACCCCGTACCGGACCGGGACCGGCAACGGGATCGCAACCCTCGGTGTTGCCCCCGCGCCTCGCTCAGCCAGTGAGCGGGAACCAGTCTGTATGTGGGATCCGAACCCTCGGCGGGAGCGCCGCCGCGCTTCTCAAGCGGCGCACTAGTGCAGTGCGCCACCGGGCCGGCCCATACCAGTCATTCTTTTAAAAAAAAAAAAAAAAAAAAAAAGAATGCAAAGAAGAAAAGAAAGATTCTTAATCTGTCCTAAGTTGTACATCTTCCTGTGAACAGCCACTCCCTGCTCTGCCCCCTGTATGGGGCCATGCCTGAGCCTGTTGTGACCAGACTGATGCTCTCATGTTAACCCTGCAGGAGCAGCCGGCCCAGGTCACCCTTGCTGGGGACTGCTAGGGCACAGGAACCAGGTGTGACTGCACAGGAGGTAACCACAACCTGTGGCTCTGGGGACAGATCTCTAGCCCCACCTGGATGCCTGAGCTCAGGGGACAAGACTGGAGCTCTGAAGCACTTTGCACCCAGATTCACAGAGCCCAGCCCCCACCTCCTCACTGACCTGAATGGGCGGCTCCAACTTTCCCAGCCTGGGTCTCAGCAACCGTCACAAGGGAATGGGGCAGCAGAGAGGGTCCCCAGGAGCATAGTACCAACCAGGGTCTGTGCTGGGGTCACTGCTGTCTCCAGAGAGGCCTAGGTGGTCAGGGAAGTGATATCTCCCCCAGCACAGCCCAGAGGAGCCAGCCGTCCACTGTATCCCCTGCCTCCCATGAGACCCCAAATTAGAGAGCCCAGCTCTGTCACCACCCTGCCCTGCTCTGGGAGGTGACACTAACATGAGAGCTGGTGAGGGAGGCAGGCCCCAGACAGAAAGTGGGAGGAGAGCCCCAGCACCTACTGAGAGGCTGTGGGAGGGTCCTTCCATGGGGTGGGCTGGCATTTCATGATAACTCTTACTACTGTCAGTGTACCTTCCCTGACAGTCGCCAAGACAGTCGCCCAGGATGGAGGGAATTTCTCTCATCCAAAAGATGTCCATCCCCCCAGTTGCGCACCCAGCACTAGATGGCTTGAGGCCACAGGGGCCAGGTCAGCTGTGAGAGAGCTGGCACGGGGCCACTGACTAACAGCTGCCCAACAGGTCACTCTTCCGTGTCTCATGGCCTTCCAGGAGCAGTGCCTGCCAGCTCCCCAAATCCTGCCCCTGCTTGTCCCCACAAGTCCCCCCAGGCCCTCAGGCATTGTGTGAAGAAGGCAGAGGCAGCCACGGGGACGGTAGGGAGCTTTGCCTTTTAAGGCCTTGCCAGCTGCAGTGCCAGCGCAGGGGAGCCTTTAAAGGACATTGCTGGCTGGGCTGGCCCACCCATCCCCAAACCCAGAATAAAAATAGAAGCGGGGCCCCAGTTGGCTTGGCTACCATGGCTCCCCGCAACAGCCTCGCCAAGCCCACAGGGTGGGCAGCTGGGGGGTGCCAAGACACACGCCTGAGTCTTGGGGAACACGCAGCCCATGGTGCACACCTGGACTGGGGCGAACCTAGGAACAGCCCCCAGGACAGTGTGGCTCTCTTGGTCGGGGTCACCACATGGCAGTAAGGAGGGCTCACTTGCTGGTCACCAAGGGAATAAGAGAGACCACCTCCAGCCCTGAGACAGCCCCCAGCTGAGGAGAACAGCCCCCTGCCCTGCTCCATGGGGCTCTGACTTCCATCCCAGACACAGCACAGGGACAGACTGACAGACCCACATGCCCCAAGGCCTCATCTGTCATGAGGGGGAAGCACCCACTGTGCAGGACAACAGGGAGGAGACCTCGTTCAGGACTCGGCAGGACGTGGGGGTTGCTGTGGTTCTCAGCGTCCCTCCAGTCCCTCGGCTGTGCCGCTTTAGACATCCTGAGAGTGGCTGTCATGACAGAAGAGACTTGTGTCCATTTTATCCCTGCTGGATCCCCGAGGCCTAAACAGAGCCTGGCCTATAGCAGGTGTCAAGTACAGACTTAGAATAAAAACCAGGTCAAGCTCTGCCACCCCGGCACAGATGCCGCTACGCAGGTACCCATGGGCCAACTCTCTCTCTTGGGCCTGTTCTGCCCAAAAAGTCTGAGCAAATACAAGCCTGGAAAACCCTGCAGGTCTGCCAGCCATTTGGCTTCTTTCTGAAATCAGAAGAGGGACCAGCAACGGGCCTCTCTCCCTTGAAGCCATCCCTCTTAGCAGGTGGCACCTCCATCCAGGCCCTGCAGGGCATACCCAGCCTGCGCTCACCTGAAGTAGTCACTGCAGGCAGCCAGGACCACCTTGTGCGCGTGGAAGGTCTGCCTGTTGATGGTGAGCACGACGTCCAGGAGCTGGCCCTGGGCACGGAGGGTGGCCAGGCCCTGCAGGAGGCCGGTGCTGTGGCAGGGTGCAGAGAAGGTACACTTGAGGGCTCCGTTCTTATCGGCCATGCTGTGGGGAGAACAGAGCGGGGAATGCTGCTCAGAGGCCTTGGAGATCCCGCATACATCACAGTGGAAAAGGACCTAGAAAACGCAGTGCTGAATGAAAGCAGCCAGACACAGGCCACCTCATGGGTGATCGCATGGATATGAAATGTTCAGAACAGGCAAATCCATGGAAACAGAAAGCAGACTGTGGTTGCCAGGGTCTAGGGAGGAGAAGTGACTGCTTAAGGCATAAAGGAAACTCCTTCTGGGGGGATGAAAATGTTCTGGAACCAGATAGAGTTGTTGGTGGCTGCAAAGCCTTGTGAATGTAGTGAATGCCTCTGAATCGTGCACCTTAAAATGGTTAGTTTTGTATTATTTGAATGTCAGTGCAATTAAACAAACAAACAAACAAAAAAAAAACAAGGGCGCAGGGGCCTTCCCAGTCCTGTATAAACCCTGCCATGGCCACAGTACCCTCAGACTGTCCAAGGCCCTCTGTGGTCCAGCCCCACAGCCCCCACCTGCCCCAGACCAGTGAATGAATGGCTTAGGAGGCCTTACACACCACATCATCCTCAAGACACAACGGGAGAAGGTATCATTGCAACCTCCAGGGTCAAGGACTCCTCAGCCCATGCTCCACCCCCACCCAGACACCCTGCCCCCTCCCAAGCACTCTGCTCTCTCCCCCAGCCTGCTCTCTCCCCCAGCCTCCCGCCCTCTGGAACTTACTCTCCCATTACTGGGACCAACGCCTGCCTGCAAGAGATGGCCAGGAATGTGGGCCCTGGTCTTTCCAAGAAAGCGGGATGAGACAAAAGGCTCCTAGGCCCCCCACCCACCAGCCCCAAACAAGGCCAGTCATTAAGAGGTTGATGTCAAACACAGGCATATGCCTGGCAATCACTCAATGCAGCCATTGCCACTGGAGGTCCCTGACCTCTTACAGGGTGCCTGCCTTGGTGGCCCTGCACAGACTCTTGGGAAAGGGTGGGTAGAGGGGCTGTGGGGCTGGGTGCTGACCATAGCCAGGCCAGGTGCTGCCGGCAGAGCAAGTTGCCCAAGCTCTAGCCCTGCCTGCAAGATGCTCAGAGTCCCAGAAGGTGGGAGGCAACACAGCATGGGGATGACCTGGAGTAGGGGACTTGGCGTGAGGCCTCCAATCAGTGCGAAGCCTTCGGGTCCCTAGGGAAGCAGTTCTGAGTGTCCCAGGAAGAGGGGAAAGGAGTCAGGAGTAGAGAGGTGTGGAGGCCAGAATGAGGGGATGTCCCGGATTCTTGTCCCAGCCCTGTCGCCACCATGATTAGACAATGACACATAACTATATAAGGCCCAGCCTCTTCCTGGGAGCAGGGAGCTTGGCTGTGTCCCAGGTGCCTGTGCCTATGACGCCAAACCCACCCCCTACAGCCCCTCCTGGGACCCTGAGGGTGTCCAGGGCCTCCCAACCGCCTGGCCTGGCCGAGGCTCCTGCCATCAGCACCCACCTGCCTCTTGCCTGCATTCTGCCTGGCACCTTCTCTGCACAGCATAGCACCAGAGGGTCAGGGCAGGAGCTAAGAACAAAAGGCCATGGTCAAATCCCACCACGGCACTGTGGACAGCTGGTATGACCTCCTGGAGCTGCCCTGCCAGAGTTGGAGGCGTGACGCTTCTCAAACTTTACTGTGCCTGTGAATCACCAGGGATGGTGTTAAAATACAGACTCAGACTCAGCAGGTACAGGGGGCCCAAGGATGGTGCTGTCATTGCTCCATGAACCCCGCTTGACACAGTGAGAGCTGGACAATGTGCATGTACACCACCTTCATCACCACGATCCCCTAGACAGTCATCCAGACTCAAGCCGGGTCCTGAGCAGTGTCTTGGGGCCCGAAATCAATAGATGCAGCTTCACGTGGCCTGCTCCTCCAGGAAGACTGCCCCAGCTGCACCATGGCCCTCAAGGCCCCAGTGCCTGGTCAGCGCTACTGCTCCCCACTGCAAACCAAGCGCCCACGGGCAGACTGTGTCTCAGGGCTGCCCCGGGAACCAGCACAGACAGGGATACCCAGGCTGGAGTCAGGGGACACTGGCCAAGTGAGACAAAGGGCCATGCCTCAGGACTCCTGAATCCAGGGTCCTCCCCCAGTCCATTCACTTCTCATTCATTCATTCACTCAGCTGACACCTCACAGATGGGGCCTGGCCTGCCCCATGACACTGGCTCTGGTTCAGGGGAGGGGGTACAGATGCTGTAGTGAATTAAATTATGTCCCCTCAAAACTCTCTGAAGCTTGAACTGTGTTCCCCAAGTTTTATGTATTAGAAACTTAGCCCTCACTGTGACTGTTAAGAGGGTGGGAGATCCTATTATGGTAATTGAAAGGTGGAGCCTTGAAGAGATAATTGGACTTTAGGACCATGCAGTAGTGAATGGATTAAAAAGGTGGTCAGGGGCGTGGTTCTGAGGGCTTTAAAAGAAGAGGAGAATCTGTCTCTGTCTCTCTGTCTCTGTCTCTGTCTCTCTCTCTCTCTCTCTCTCTCTCTCTCTGCTTCTACCATCTTGCAATGTGAGACCCCTGGGTCACTGTTGCCACCACCAGATGGACTTTGGACTTCCCAGCCTCAGAAACTGTAAGCTATAAATGTCATTTTTCTTTATAAATCACTCAGTTTCAGGTATTTTGTTATAAGCAACATAAATGGACTAATACAGAAAACTGATACCAGAGAAGTGGGGTGTTGCTTATAACAAATACTTGAAAATGTGGGAGCAGCTTTGGAACTGGGTGTTAGGCAAAGGTTGGACAAGTTTGGAGGACTCAGAAGAAGACAAAAAGATGAGAAAAAGTTTGGAATATCTTAGAGACTAGTTACGTGGTGGTGAGCAGAATGCTAATAGAAATATGGACTGTAGGGCCAGCCCATGGCTCACTTGGGAGAGTGCGGTGCTGATAACACCAAGGCCAAGGGTTCGGATCCCTATATAGGGATTGCTGGTTAGCTCACTTGGGAGAGCGTGGTGCTGACAACACCAAGTCAAGGAACTGTAAAGACCATTCTAAGGAGGTCTCAGATAGAAATAAGAAGGAGTTTATCAGAAATTGGGACAAAGCTCACCCTTGCTCTGAACTGGCAAGGAACTTGGCTGTATTGTGTCCGTGCCCTAGGACTTGGTAGAAGTTGGAACTTAGGAGTCGTAAACCAGAGTATCTGGCAGAAGGAATTTCTAAGCAGCAAAGCATTAAGGAAGCTGCATGGCTACTTGCAACAGCCTATGCTGAGTTATGGTGGCAAAGGCACGATGTAAAGCCAGAATTTAAAGGAGAAGCAGGGAATGAAATTTTAGAAAATTTGCAGCCTGGTCATGTGGCAGAGAAGCAGAGAGCATGCAATGGTGCAAGCCCAGCAACCCTTAGCTAAGAAGATTAGTACAAAGGAAAGGGATTATCAAGAGAAGGAGAAAAAGGCCCTGAAGGCATTGCAGAAGCCTCTGGGGCCAACCCTTCCATTTCAGGCCCAAAGACCTAGGGAGACAGAATGGTCTTGGGGAACAGGCTTGAGGAGCCCTCCATGGGCTCAGTGCCCAGAACCATCTCAAGAAGCTGCTTCCAGCACCAGCACCCCAGCTGCTTTGGATGCTCCAGCTGTGGCTAAATTGGCCCCAAGTGTGGCTGGACATGCAGCTTTGGAAAATACAAGCCGGAAGCATTGGAGGCATCCACGTGCTGTTAGATCTGCAGGCTTGCAGAATGCTAGAGCTGTGGAAGCTTGGGAGCCTCCACCCAAATTTCAAAGGATGTATGGAAAAGTCTGGGGGAAGAGATCTGTTGCAGGGCAGCGTCACCGCAGGCAACCTTCACTAGCTTATTAGTCAGGGTTCTCCAGAGAGGCAGAATCAATAGGATATGTTATAATTATATGAAAGGGATTTATTAGGGGAATTAGCTCACGTGACTATGGAGAAAAGTCCCACGATAGGCTATCTATAAACTGGATGCCGGTAGCATGTCTCAGTCCAAGTCCAAAGGCCTCAAAACCAGGGAAGCTGATAATGTCCTTGATATAAGTCCTGGAACCCAAAAGCTGAAGAGTCTCAAGCTCTGATGTCCACGGACAGGAGAGAAGAGTATATCCCAGATCCAGCAGATCAAGAGAGAGCTTCACCTCTTTCCTCTGTCTTTTGTTCTCTCCGGACCCCCAGTGGATTGGATGGTTCCCACCCACACTGAGGGTGGGTCTTTCCCACCCAGGCCACTCAGACTCTCATACTAATCTCTGAGGGAAACACCCTCATGGACATACCTAAAAAGATAGCTTTACCAGGTTTCTCAGCATTCCTTCATTGAACCAAGTTCACATCTAAAATTAACCTTCACAACTACAGCAATGCTGAGCAGAAATGTGGGGTCGGAGTTGCAGCAGAGAAACCCCATCAGCACCATGTCTAGTGGAGCCAGGAGAGTGGGACTGCCATGGAGACCCCAGACCTGTGGAGTTACCAGGGTGCAACGCCAGCATGCGAGAGTTAAAGCATCACCTGAGTACAGAAGAGCCACACAAGTGGAGCTGCCTGAGGACTTGGGGACCCAACCACCACACCAGTGTGCAGAGGATGATGAACATGGAGTCAAGTTATAAGATTCACCAGCTTTAAGATTCAGTGCACATCCTGCTGGATTTCAGACTTATTTGGGACCTGTTACCCCTTTCTTTTGGCCTATTTATCCCTTTTGGAACTGGAATATATACCTTATTTTTGTTTCGCCATTGTATCTTGGAAGTAGATAACTTGGGTGTTTTTGATTTTTTGTTTGTTTGTTTTTTAAAAAATGACCACTAAGGGGATTTTAACCCTTGACTTGGTGGTGTCAGCACCACGCTCTCCCAAGTGAGCTAACCGGCCATGCCTATATAGGATCCGAACCCGTGGCCTAGGTGTTATCAGCACCATACTCTCCCAAGCTTTAATTCACAGATGGAACTGTGAACTTTGGACCTCTGAGTTGAAACAAGTTAAGACTTTGGTGATGAAA